AGATGTGCTGCTCCAGCAGAGCAGGCAGGCATGCCAGGAGCATTCCTGGAGCTGTCCAACACGGCCCAGGATGCACTGAAGCTCATGGAAGTCTCTGCATGGAGCAGCCCGGGTTAAACCCCATCATCTCCTACACATTTACTGAGCACTCTTAGGATTCAAGCCGAGATTTGCACCCTAAACCCCAAACCATCACAACCAGCCCTAAAACCGCACAGAGCAGCAGCTGCCAGAGCCTCTGTTCTGGGATTCCAGCCCCTTACCTACGGCACAACCAGGACCTCGGGAGCAGAGCCCATCCCAATCCTTGGCTGTCCATAAAATCCACAGCGGATGTTCCCCAGCTCCTCGCGCTCCCAGGGTTGGCTTCTCAAGCTGAAGTCCCTCTGAAATCCCAGTGCAAACATCCCCGGGATGAGAGGGAGCGGGAGATCCCTCTGCAGGGCTCAGTGAAGAGTTAAAACTCCCAAGGATCCCTTGGCTCCCGCGGGAGCTCCTGGAGCAGGCGGTGGAGGAGCTCCCGGCTCCGCATAATTCCTCCCCTGTTCCCAGGGCTGCTGCGCTTGCCTGGCACAATGTCCGGGATTGTGCGGGGTTAAACCGGCCCACACAACGCCTGCATTCACACCCAGCGAGGCCAGCAGTGCCTCCTCCATGGAAATCACATCCATGGAAATGCCCTCCTCTCCACGAAAATCCCCGCGCGTTGGGGGCTGGTGATCCAGAGGCTTCCCCGGCCGGCAGAACCCCGGCCTAAAACCCTTCCTGAAAGGTGAAAAAGCTCTTCCTCGAAGCGGTTTCGCTTTTCAGCCCTCCTGTCCATCCTTCCAAGCCGCTCGTTCCCCCGGGGCAGCGCCGGGGGAAGGGCAGGTCAGAGCAGACCCTCCCAGCTCCAGAGCCAGCGGTCCTTAATCCCCGCCGGGAGCGGAGCGCCGCTAAATAATCCCCGGCGTTCCAGAGAGGCAGCCGGAGGCCGTGGAAGATCCTTCCCGGCGCGTCCTGACCCTGCTCCACCTCCCCGGGGACACGGAGGGTTCCATCAGCCCCCGGTCCGGGCGGGAAGGGGCAGCTCCAGGCTTTGGGTTTCCCCGATTCCAAGCCGTTTTCCTGATAAAACCTACGACCGCAGTCCGTCTTGAGGCTGTTAGGTAACATTTGGGGCTCGGCAGGAGGAAGCAGGGCGATCTCTCTGGAATTTAACGCATCCAGTCCTTCACTTCCACGTAGCTTTGCACCAGCAAAGAGAAGCCTCGCCGTTGCCGTGGCCCTGGGGGCTTCTCCCGACACTTCTTGGTGCAGAACCCTCTGAGAACGGCCAGTGCTCATTCCAGCTGCGATTTCTGGAGGTATTCATGGCCATCCCGAGGTTCTCCACAGCTGCAGGGGGGATTTCCAGCACTTTTTGCTCCAGGGGTTGGTCTAAAACGCGGCCTGGGGGGCGCACAGTGGGATGAACCGTCACACACTCCAACACACCTGGTGTTCCCATACATGGTAAACTCCTCCTCTGGAGCTGCCCTGCTTCGTTCCAGCTGAAATCATGGGACAATAACTAAAAGCTCTGCAAGGAGTGAGCAAAACGTGCCCTGGTGGGCCCTGGGTCACTGAGGGGGCTGCTCTGGGTGCTGGGTCACACAGCCCTGTGAGCCCCCCACAGCAGCAACATCTCACCCAGCGGGCACCACAGCTGCTCCCAGCTCTCCAGGCTCACATCCAGGCATTCCCTAACTGCTCCTCACTCCACGGGGCACAAGGTTGGAGCCTGGGCACACCACCTGCACCCCGAATGCCCAGTGATCCCCCGGGATGGGGCAGTGCAGCACCAGGCACAGAAATCCGCTCTCCACTCTCCCAAAACTCCCCTGTTTCTGCTGAGCTGCCTCTTGGCTGCTCAAACCCCTCTGTGCCCACTCAGGCTCCTCCCTGAGCCGTTTGTGCTCTGGCAGTTGGAGGCTGGGTGAAAGGAGAGCCATCATGTCCTCAATACCTACATTTTCTGCTTTATTAACAGAGCAAGTCATGCATAATGGCAAGGGGAGGGAAAGTGCAGCCCTGCAGCCCTCGAGTTGTTCTGGGTTGTTGTGCCAAGAAAACAAGCTGGGCAAGGCAGAGCTGAGGAATTGTGTGTCTCCCCAGGGATCTGAGCAGCTCTGCTCTCCCCCCATCCCATGAGGAAGCACAGAGAGGGGGATGGTGGGCCCTGCCCTGGTTCCATCCCCGACGTGCCCCTCAGGATTGCCAGGTTCCCAGTGCTTTGCCTCAGTTTCCCCTCAGGATCAGCTTTGTGAGTGGCTTTTTCACCCCAGCTCTCCTGTTCAGCAGGAACAGAGGGAGGTGAACGATGGGACGTGCAGCCAGACACCATGGCACATTAATTTGGATTTTTATGTGGCCTCAGAATAAGCAAACGTGGCTCATTTTGCATTTCAAGGCAGCAGAGCAGCTCCCAAGTGCAGCTGTGCTGCCGTGCCAGGCGCTGTGCCAGCTCAGTGGCCCTTCCCTACACCTCCAGCAGTGGCACATCCTCGGAGAATCCACGGCAGGCAGGGCTGGAAAGCAGCCTGGGCAGGGCCCATCACCAGGGAGATCCGTGCCAGGGCTCAGGTCCTCCCGTGGGATGAGACACAAGCTCCACGGGAGGAACTGGAGAGAACTTGGAGCAGCAGAGCCTGAAGGATGGGTCTGAGGGATCCATCGAGTTCCCCGTGCGGGGCTGGGAACAGGGGCAGGGCACGGGGAGGATGGATGGACATGGAAATGTGCTCCTTCCCCTTGCCAGCCAGAGAAACACCTTCCTTTCAGAGGGTCCACTCACAGCAGGGACACAAAACCAGGCAACAAATGGGTTAACCAGGCAGAAATCTCCCTGACTGCACCACGGCAGGAGCAGAGCTGTGAGGAGCTTGGAATCTTAAAAAGAAAAAAAAAAAAAAAAAAGGACAGAAAACTCGCTCAAATCCCACAAACCTGTTTGGCCAAAGCAAAGAGGGCTGAGCCCCCCTCCAGGGTCCAGGGGGCCACCTTCAAACCCTGCCTTCCCAAAATGGCCCTGGGGCTCTGCTCAGGCTCCTCGGGGGCTTCAGGTGGCCCCTGGGCTCGGCGTTTTTTGGCAGAGCGCTGCCCACATTCTCCAGCCGACCTTCGGGAGTCAGTGAAGACACGGCGAATTCCCATGGAAGCGCTTTCCGACACAGAGCAGCCACACATGACTGACTTCACAACACTCCCCCTCCCCCCTCCGGCTCTCACCAGCCCTTCCCTCCTCGTCCTTAACCTAAATAAGGCGTCACATCGCCCAGGATGCAAAGGCAGCACCGCCGAACCCAAGTCTTACTACAAATCCGCGTGTGACATCGATCCGGGGCTCAGTCCGCGGCCAGAGCTCCCTTTCCTCCAGGCCCCCACCACGCTCTTCCCGAACAAGCCCTCTCCTATTCACCACGGCACTGCTATTCCAGAGCATCCAACAATATGTGCCTGTGTGTTGGGAAAGGCAGCGAGCCCTGGCACTGCCAGCGCCGAGACCCGCGCGGCAGTCATTCACCAGCGAGCAGAGCCCCTCAGACATCTTCAAGCGCGTCGAAATTTCGCAAAATTAAGGGAAAAGAAGGGAGGTGTACGTCTCTAGAAGCGGGTGGGAAGCAAATCTGGGAGCGGCGGAGCGCAGGGGCTCGGGGGAGCGGGTGTCACACCAAGCGCTTACGGGCGAATTCGTGAAGTCTCCCCAGCCCCGAGTGTCAGAGCTGCCGGCAGCACCGCACCCGCCCCAGCCCCGCTTACATAACCCCCCCTGGGCCGGGGCACCGCCGGGAACGGGGCATCGACACAGCCGGGGCACCACCAGAACCGGGGCATCAGTGGGGTCGGGACTCAACCGGGACCGGGGCATCCATGGGGCCGGGGCATCACCGGGACCGGGGCATCACTGGGGCAGGGGCATCACCGGGACCGGGGCATCAGTGGGGCAGGGGCATCACCGCGGGGGGTGCACCGCCACAACCGGGGCATCACCAGAATCGGGCATCACCAGAACCGGGACATCGTTAGAACCGGGGCAACACCGGGACCGGGACCGAAGCATCACCACGGCCGCGGCATCAGCGGGACCGGCCACACCGCGGCCGGAGCATCCACAGAACCTGGGCATCACCGGGGCAGGGACATCGCCGGCACCAAGGCATCACGGCGGCCGAGGCACAGCCAGGACCAGCCGGGACCAGCGCACCGAGCAGCATCCTCGGCGCGCAGCCCCGCGGAACGCCCGGCTCGGTCCGGGCATCGCCAAGCGGAGCCAACTCCAGGGCGAGCGAGGGAGGGAGGGGGAGAAGCAACAAGACCCGCGGACCCCGCTCAGCCGCCCAGGACCGTGTGACACGAGCGGGGCAGGCGATGCCGCCGGTGTTGTGCAAGTCACGGCCGGGGGGAAGCGGGGCCGGGAGAGCAGGGATGGGGAGTGCGGGTATTGGGAGAGCGTGGATGGGGAGAGCGGGAATGGGGGAGCTGGGATGAGGAGAGAGAGCATGAGGAGAGCGGGGATGAGGAGACAGGGTATGAGGAGAGAGAGGATGGAGAGAGTGGGGATGGGGAGAGCGGGGATGAGGAGAGCGGGGATGGGGGGGCGAGGATGGAGGTGCGGAGCCGCCCGCGGGGCCGGCGCGCCCCCGGCGGAGCCCCGGGAAGTTTGCGGCGGCTTCTCCCCCGCCCGTGGCTCCGCGGCCACGGGCAGTAGCGCCGCCGGTGACAAGCGCGGCGGCCCCGGGCGCTCCGCGGGCGCGGAGCATCCCCGCGGCGGCGGCGGCGGCACCGGCTGCAGCCCCCGAACGTGCCCCCCCTCCCCGGTTTTCGCCGTGAAATGTCAGCGTTTCATGGCAACGCCGCTGCCCCCGCGCTGCCTCCGCCGGCTCCCGCGGCGCTCAGCGCTGTCCCCCCACCCTCCGCCGCCTCCCGCCCTTCCGCCCCGGCGACAGTCGCGACAAGGTCACGCGGCGCCCCGCACTCACCGTACACCCCTTGGCCGGAGCTGCCCTCCAGCAGAACCGTCAGCAGCCCCAGCAGCCCGATGGCCACATCCATCTTCACGTGAGCATCCACATATCCAGCCCGGCGGGGCGGGGGGGGGCCGCGCAGCGCCCGCCGGAGCCCCGCGCTCCGCTGCGGCCGAGCCGCGCACGCCCGCGCAGGCAGGGCGGCGGGGGCAGGCGGCGGGCACCGCGCCGGTCCTCCTCCTCCTCCTCCTCCTCCCTCCTCCTCCTGCTCCCCCTCCTCCTCCTCCGCCTTCCTCCTCCGCCTCCGCCTCCTCCTCCTCCTCCTCCTCCCGCAGCGCAGAGCGAGCCCCGCTCGGGGCAGCACCGGCCCGTGCCCGCGGCAGCCCCCGCACCCTCAGGGCTGCGGCCGCCGCCGCCGCCGCCTCCCGGGCCCGCCGAGCGCCGCGCGGGGCCGCCGCAGCCGCCGGAGCCCCGCGGCCATCAGAGGCCCCCGCAGCGCCGCGGCCCCCGCATGGTGCGCAGGGCTCGGGGCCGGCGGGGGGCGCGGGGAGGTCCGCGGGCTGCGGCGCTGCGGGGCGGCCCCTCTCGCTGTGTCTCAGCGCGGCTGCGGCGCCGCGCCCATGGCGGGGGGCGGCGGGGGCTGCGCGGGGCTCCCCGCGGGATGCGCGCAGGGTGCGGGCGCTGCGAGCGGAGCGCGGCGGGGCCGTCACGTTGTGCTGATACGTGCGGGGCCGGCAGCCGCAGCCCGCCGACGTCAAAGCTGCGTGGCTGTCGCTGCTGCGCGCCTTCCTCCGCCTCCTCCTCCTCCTTCGCCGCCGCCGCCGCTGCCGCCGCCCCCCCGGGTCCCCGCGGCTCCAGCAGCGCCAGCGGGCGCGCAGGGCCGCAGGGCTGCCGGGCTGGGATGGGCGCGGGGCGTCCCGCTCCGCTCCGGGATGCGCGGAGCGCTGTGACCCTCCCAGCCCCGGGATGCGCGGGGCGGTGCATCCCGCCCTGTCCCGGGATGTGCGGAGCGCCGTGTCCCGCGCGGAGCCGGGATGCGCGAAGCGGTGCGACCCACGCTGCCCTGGGGTGGGTGGGGGGTCCCGCCGTGCCGCGGGATGCGCGGGGCGGTGCGGGGCGGACGGTGAGGGGCGCCCTGAGCCCGCGCTGGCTCCGCGCTCCGCTCCCCGCTGCCGGGGGGTCCGGCCCGCGCAGCTCCCGCACATCCCGGCCTGCGCCTCCGCGCTGCGATTCCTGATGCCAGGTCCCGGACCGTGACCCCGCTGCCTCCCCCTCGGTGCCCGCCATCCCACCCCGCTCCCTTCCTGCCCGGCTCTGGGGGCACCCCCGGGCTCAGACCGCCCCCCAGCCGTGCCCTGCACCGCTGGTCACACCCCCGTGGGTGCCGGGGGCAGCAGCGCCGCTGTCCCGCCCTCCACTGCCCAAAAACCCCGTGCTGGCTCGAGGCTGAGTGTCCCGGGGCCCTGGGATAGGGACAGTCCCAGCCTGGGGGCTCCCACACCCTGCAGTGACTGGGGTGGCACAGAGAGGGGCACAAAGGGCACTGTGTGTCCCAGGCAGCTGAGCCACCTCAAACAATGGGGTTTCACTGGGCATTCCCCCCTTCAGTGATGTTTGCCCCCCATCAAGTATTTGAGACCCCTCACCGGCGCCCAGCACCTTCCCAAGCTGCCTGTGGCCCTACATTTTGGGTTCAAGGGATTTGTGCTGGTGAAGGTCTCTTGCCTCTGCTTTCCCTAAGCAAGCCAGGGATTTTTTGGGAAGTGACTGCCCCTGTCCTCTCCCTTTTTTCCTTGTTTTTTGCAAGGATTACCCCAAACCCATGGACACCTTGGCCACAGCTACACTCAGCTCCCTCCTCTGCCTGCAGCAATTAAGGATTAGTGCTCCAGGCCAGGGAAAAGGGACGTGCTCTGGAAGGAACAATTGCACTGTCAGGGTTTCTTGTGACCCCCCTGGCACGAGGCAGGACACTCTTAACAAGGCTTGGATGCTTCCAGTGCTCTCCTGGCCACTGGGGACAGGCCCCAAAGGGCTCAGAGCACACAATCCATCACTTGGAAATACACTGGTGGATGCAAGGGGGCAAATTCCCTCTTCCCAACCCGGTGAGAACACGGGAGGTGGAAGGAAGGGTGGGCACAGCACTTCTCTGTGCAATCCCCGTGCCCCCAGAGCTCAGGCTGGCACTCAGCACAGCCTGGAGCCCATTCCCAACCCTCTGCCAGCTGGAGCTGACATTGCACTGGGACTGTGCTCAAAATACCGTGTCCCCCTCAAGGGACACAACGTTTTGTGCTGTTCCAGACACTCCACTGCCTCTGGCTGCATCTCTCCACCTTCCCTGCTCGCCCTCCCCATGAAGGGACTCCCAGTTGCGTGTCTGGGCCCACCTGATGCTCTCTTTTACCTGTCTTTCAGCTGCAAGGAGAATTTGGGATCATCTGCCTCAGCAGATCTCCAGGGGTTACACTCCCAGCGTGGCCTCCAGACGATGGCCTTCAATCTCCAGCTGCCTTTTGGCTTCTCTCTGCCTCTCCATCCTGCCAAAATGACCCTCAGAGCAACAGCTGGGCCACATCTGGGTTGTGATCATCCTCCCGGTGGTTAAATCCCAGCTCCTCACAGCACAGACACCTGAGCTGATCCTGAGGGTTGGAATCATTCACTGGCTGCTCTGCCCTATGGAACTATCCCAGCAGAAAGGATGTTTTCCAGCACACCACTGACAAGATTTCTTGGAGGTTCAGCATTTGGCACTTAATAAATAAATAAAACTTCCCCCAAAAAAGTCTGGAAATTGGTGCAAAGAACTCCCAGTCTGAAGTTAAGCAGGTGCATAAATTTCTGAGCACGAAATGTCCACGTGGTTCCCACTGAACAGATCATCTGACAGGGCTTTTTTGGAAAGTATCTTGTTCTTAAATGTTTAAATATTCCAGCTCCTGCTGAGATCTGCTTGATGATGTTAAGCTGGGAAGCCAAACCCCAACCATCTCACTCGCCAGGAAGTTTAGTGAAGGAAAAAAGAGGAATTAAAATAACTCCCCAAGTCAGAGCTGAGTGTCCCAAATCCCTCTGTGAGTTAAACAGGGTTGGAGTTTTCCCCCTGTTGGAATAATTTAGCTGGGAATTGTTCTGGGGAAATTCAGCTGGTCTGGGTGGGGGTTCCCAGGGCCAGGACTTTGCTTTGGGAGGGAAAACATGTCACCACCCAGCACTTGCAGAGGCCACTTCACCCTGCAAACCCCACTTCAGGGCTTTTATTTATCACTGGAAAGGCTCACAAGGCTCATCTGCGGCTTTTAACCCCAAAACAAGTTGCTCTTTCCCAAGAATCCCAGGATTTTGGGCCACTCACACTGAAAACATCAGGCTGCTCTTCCTTTATTAAAGGAAAAAAATGAAAATAGACTTGTAATGGTGCTGGTTTTAACTGCTGAATGTTCCTGAATCCAAGGGTCAGAATTCAGAATATGAATGTTGAGTATAGAAAGGCTTTGGATCCCAAGGAATTTCACTGCAGCACTTTTCCCATGGAAAGGGTTATCCCTCACCTTCTCCCAACACAGGTCTGCATCATTGCACCCTGGACATCATCACCCACTGGGTGTGTCATTCCATGCCCCAAGCCAAATATTCCACGTAAATAGAACTGACTGGGCTTTTCTTCCCCCAGGAATGAGGAACCATCAGCACTTCCCAGTATCCCAGAGGACTGTGTAGTGTGTGGAGCACCCAGTGTGTGTTACAGGCCCCTCTGCTACAGGAAAGAGCAGAGTAAATAAAACAAAATCAAATCCAATCAGCTCAACTGCTCAAATAACAAAATTCTAGGGCTCTAATTCTTCCCAGATCCCAGAAACCATTTATTTCAGGAACTCTTTTAGCAGCTTTTAAATTCCAAACTGAAGGAAACTATTTCCTCTCTGGTTGTTTGGAGCAAGTCTACAAATAACTGGGATTTGACTAAAGGGGACCATTAAGGAGCATTAAGATTCTGATTGATTGTGTGGTGATGGGGAGTTGTGCGTGTTGTGCATCCCTCCTTATCCCAACACCCAACAAAACAAAGGAAAAACGAAATAATTTAACTTGGTCTCCCATTCTGATGAATTTGGGGACTGGGTGTGTCATGTGTAGAGTGTGAATAGGTTATATATGATTAACAAATCATCCCACATTAGGTGGGGAAGCACTGGAAGAGGGAAATTGGGGATTCCCCATCCCTGGAAGTGTCCAAGGCTGTGTTGGACAGGGCTTGGAGCAACCTGGGATAGTGGGAGATGTCAGATTGGAACGAGATGGGTTTTAAGGTCCCTCCCAACCCAAACCATTCCAGGATTCCCTAATTTAAAATACATTTAAGTAATTTTTTTTACTTTTCTCTCTCACAAACAAGATTTTCTCCCTTTAGAGGAACAACTTCAGGGCACAAACCCTAAATCCTCTCCTTAGGACAGCACAGGCTCTTCCCTGGGTTTCAGGGAGGTTTTCCCTTCTTCAGGGCGTTAAATGTCAGTGTGTGTGCCTTGGGTTGCTCTCCCCGGTGGGTTCCTCATTTGTTTGGATCAAACACAGTCACTTTGGGTATCTGGCACCCCCAGGATGGCAGTTAATGGTCTGGGTGATGCTTCGTGCTTGCAAATTGTTGTCTGGGTGGTTGCTCCGGATCCACAGGAATTTGCTGGGTTATTACTTTGGATCCACGGGAATTTTCCATGGAGGGAAGTGACTCCATGGTGAGTGACACAGGAGTGGCTGCAGCCCTTGTGTCCTTCAGCCTCACGTGGAGGGAGCTCAGCCACTGGAAAATCACGGAATGATGGAATAGGTTGGGTTGGAAGGGACCTTAAAGCTCATCTCGTTAGATCCGTGTCTGTGTCTCTGGGGTGGGCAGAGGGGACCTTCCCACTCTCTCCAGCTCCCATGGTAACTCCCACCCCTCTAATGATCCCCGAGGGAGGGTTATCAATGTCCAAAAAAACTACATGTAGGTGGGTGATCAACTCAGTTTTGCACCGGTGAGGCCTCTCCTTGATTCCCGTGTCCAGTTCTGGGCCCCGCAGGACAAGAAGGACACGGAGGGGCTGGAGATGTGCAGGGCAGGGAATGGAGCTGGGAAGGGGCTGGAGCAGCAGGAGCAGCTGAGGGAGCTGGGGGGGCTCAGCCTGGAGAAAAGGAGGCTCAGGGGGGACCTTC